TCATGTGTTTCCACTGTCGTCATGTGATCCAGCTAAAAGGTGCGTTCGACTTCATGCAGCACTACACAGTCGCAATCTGACTTGAAGCAGTGCATGCCGGTTAGTAATTTTGTCCGACTTGAGACGGCGCCGACGCCACGTCACTGTCATGTGTCACTGACTCAGCTGGCGCAGTTTCTCCAGAGCGGCTGCAGGAGCGTTGATGACGACACAGCCATTTGACGATTGGCCAGATTCACCGCATGACAACTATCACGTGTGTTTCGGGTTTATTCTAACCTTTTGAATTCCAATAATAGCCACAAATCTGTGTTTTTAGAACAGTAAAAGCTTTTTTTACTGTAGTCGCAATGTTATATTGAGTCACGTTTATCATAAAACACTGATGCTCCGCCACTTTATTAGTATTTAAATAGCATATATTTAAATTGAACTTTATTCTTGAACAGATGGCGATGTATTAAGCAGTATATAATCAGTATATATCTGTTGCTCATGAAAACGTTTCTGAAACGTCTGTATATTTGACAAATATAGCATTTAATTCACTTCATCTGTGATAGAGTATGCAAACACCGCGCGAGCTTCACTAACGGGAGCAGAAAGTGTCCGGCTTGATTGCTCCGTTTTCAACTCCGCCCCCGACTGCAAGCGGCTACTCTCGTTGACTGCCGTCTGTAGCCGTGCTTCAGGTCGAACGCACCTATTGGCTCCTTTGTTGTATGTGTCCTGTTTTCATTGGTTGTCTAGTTTATGTGTCATGTGTTTATTAGTTGGATTATGTCATGTGACCCTTTGTTTGGTATATATAGCCCTCATGTTGCCATTGTCTCTTGTCTAGCTTTGTTTTGTGTAACTGCTACTGGGTGAGTCTTTGTGTTCATGTTCAAGTTTATTTCATGGTTTGGAATCAAGTCAGGTCTTTGTTTATATTTGTATAGTTCAAGTCTTGTAAATAAAAGCTGCACATGGGTTCAGTAAGCTTGCCGGCAGTGGACTTTATTACAACAGGTCAAAAGTGTTTAAAGTTTTTGAAATGAATCTCTTATGCTCACCAAAGCTGCATTTATTTGATCAAAACAGTAATATTGTGAAATATTATTAAAATTTAAAATACCTGTTTTCTATTTATATATGTTTTTTAATGTAATTTATTGCTGTGATGCAAAGCTGAATTTTTAGCATCATTACTCCAGTCTTCTGTCAATTCTTCAGCTGGATCCTTCAGGAATTTGTAAAATTAAAATTTAAAATACCTGTTTTCTATTTATATATGTTTTTTAATGTAATTTATTGCTGTGATGCAAAGCTGAATTTTCAGCATCATTACTCCAGTCTTCTGTCAATTCTTCAGCTGGATCCTTCAGGAATTTGTAAGAGGGCACTTGAGAATCACATCCTGGCAGCAGTGAGATCCAAGCAATGCAGCTTCAGCTGATGAGAGAGGTGTTGAAAAGACGAGCTTCATCCCCTGGCAATTATAACAGCCACGGAAGTAATCTGTTCCACCACAGGGGATCAGAGTGAGGGTGCTGACCTAAAAATAAATCCCTGTCATTGAAGTCCCATTGAAAAGCTGCAAAATAACAAACAATGCCCACATCATGATGACTTTCAGCAGTAGTTCTTTCCTTAACTCTCTCTGGGGTCAAAGGAACAGTTCAAATTCTGTCATTATTTACTCACTCTCATATCATAAGGATTTGAGGAATCAAATATTTGGGGAATCTTCATGCAGCTTTCATCCATTCAACATTTCATACATGCCTGTCAAGCTCCAAAGAGGACAGCAAAAACAATAATGGACTGTCCGTACAAATAAAGTTCAGCATGGATAATGTGCTTTTGTAGGCCAAAACCAAGAAACAAGTTAGTATTTATCACTTCTGGTTCCATCGTCCAAAATTCAGTGGGTTTTTGGTTCAATGCCTGAAATAAGGTCTGTGGTTTACAATATTTGTAAACTTTTTTTCTTGTCTTGAAAAAGGCTGTTGCTAACAAGTGGCAAAATGGGACTACAGAGGTTGTTGGGAACATTAAATGTCATCATGACAAACAGGTAAACTCATCTACTCACTAGTCAACTTTTACATCTTTATAGTTTATAATCACACTGTTGCAATCTATTCTAACTCAAACTTTCAGGGACATTTTTTAAAGTAAAGACTGAAAGAGTTGTTCAGTTGTTCATGGTGGTGAGGCTGAAGTCTTGTAACTGTGGTGTAGTTCATTTATAGCCTACATGTAGCTTTTTACTTCTGATGATTGCATTTAGGCTTCAAAATCCATAAAAGTTGTGTTCATTTGTGAAGATTATCATGATAAACAAAACAATCATACTTGGCATGATGCATCTGCATGCCTTAAGTGAATAGTTCACCAAAACATGTAAAATTGTTGAAAATTGACTCACCCTCAGGCCATCCAAGATGTAGAGGAATTTGTTTCTTCATCAGAACAGATTTGGAGAACTGTAGCATTACATCACTTGCTCACCAATGGATCCTATGCAGTCAATAGGTGCCGTCAGAATGAGAGTCCAAGCAGCTGATAAAAACATCACAATAATCCACAAGAAATCCAAACCACTCCTTTCCATATTAATGTCTTGTGAAACAAAAAGCTGCATGTTTGTAAGAAACAAATCCATCAAGACATCCATTGTTTCCAGCTAAAATACAAGTCCTCTGTCCATAATATTGCTTTCTCCAGTTGTTTAATCTGAATCAGAAGAGACATATGCACAGACCAAGCACAGTTTACAAGTGAAAACCTCCCAAAACAGTTCCAAACAAATGTGCCGATTGATTTTAATGAGAAGACAACATGTGACTTTTTCATTGGATGAAGTGTTATTATGGATTGTGGACTATTCAAGTTATGCTTTAATAATGGATGTGTGTGCTACAAACACACAGATTTGCTTCTCAAGGCATTAATTGATAGACTTGAGTGGTTTGGATGACATGTGGATTGTTGTGATGTTTTTATCAGCTGTTTGGACTCTTATTCTGACGGCACCCATTCAGGATCCATTGGTGAGCAAGTGATGTAATACTACATTTCTTAAATCTGTTCTGATGAAGAAACAAGCACATCTGCATCTTGGATGGCATGAGGGTGAGGACATTTTCAGCATTTTTTATTTATTTATTTTTTTTCATTTTTGGGTGAACTATTCCTTTAAATTTTGGTATGATTGTTGCATAAACCTATTATATAAATTGAAACTCTTGAACTATATTTCACAAGTTGTACAGTATGTATGAACTATTTGTATGGACATAAGGGTGCACAAATTACATTTTTGGGTGAACTATACCTTTAAGTGCTCTTCTGCATTCATGTTGAGTAAATCTGTAGTTAAGAGTCCCAGCCCCCTCCTTTCCCATCACAGTCTCTCAGCAACATCAGCTCAGACAACGCCTCCTCCTCCCTCCATTTAGATCAATCCTGCTGTAGAGGCAAATGATGCAGAAAAAAACATTATTGATTTTGCAACATCCTGTCTTCACTTATAGGAACGCTCTACAGTTTCTATGAGAGAAATCGTATGCATTACAGGAAGACCATTGACTGTCAGACCATTGAATGTCTGTCTGAAAACTGATACTCCTTCCCCTAGAGAGCTGCGGATGGCATTGCCTCATTGGGATGAGATAGCCAACCATGCTCAAATTTTGTGAATCACAGCAGGTTTTCCCTTATGTGACATAAACAGAGCAGAGAGAACAGAAGTCAAGGTGACCTGATCAGTCAGATGGATTAGAAAAATAACTAAACAAACAAAATAAGCTACATTTTTGCTAGAACTTTGCTAAGAATGAATTAATAAAGTCAAAATGGAAAACTGACCCAGTAACATAGGTGTTGTGCACTAAAGACTTAGTCTATAGGGTTTAACAGCGAAAGCTTTTTCCATATTTCAGATCAGTGGGTTTGTAAAGATTAACTTTAGCTCTTTTTTTGTGGATGACTGGGTACTGAGATAAGGCCACAATATGCATTATATGATATTTGAGATGTTTCCATTCAGATTTATTTGTAAGACTTTTTTATGACTAAATTTGGTAATGGGAGAGTAAAAATATTTTTAAAACGTACACCGTTCAAACTAGGCTGCTTATGTTGAAGTGTTTGGGATGTGGCTTTTAATGAGGAGACCTATTTTGTAATCAGGCTCTCAAAAAGTATATAACAATTTGGATATAGATTTATCGGCCAACATATCGGTTATCGGCCTTCAAAAATAAAGAATAATCGGTTATCGGTATCGGCCAAAATTTTCATGTCGGTGCATCCCGGTTACATAACTATATGGGATGACCTGAAGAAGCCAGAATAAATATATTATAACTTCTTAATAGATTGCTAGAGCTCAGATCCTAAAACTAACTCATAAATAAATAATAAAAACAATAAATAAATAAATAAATAAATAAACAAATAAATAAATGAGGGAATGAATGAATTAATGAATAAATAAATAAATAACAAATAAAAATAATATTTTAGTAAAAAACAACAACCAAACTAACACATTTCAATACAATTTATTATTTTTTTAATAAAAATAAATATTGTTTATATTTCAGTAAAAACAACAAACAACCTAACAAACAAACAAACAAAAACAAACAATAAAGTAATAATCTGACTGTTTTTAAGAACACGCTGTCTTGCCTGCTTCTGTAGATTATTGTGTGAATACTGAGTGCTGCATAGACTTACACACTAAAGCACGTCACCACCAATCATATCATATGAAAATGGATTCTATCTGAGGCTCGAGCGCGTGTTAAGAAAGCGTTTGCGGTAGACTGGAGCGGAGTCCAGGTTTCTCTGGGGAAGGAGGGAGAGGGACATCTAATCGTCCTAGTCTGCAGGAAGGGTGCGCACGGAGCGCAGTTGCTCTGCGCTGAAGTAAATCTTTCTAGACTGATAAGAGTTCATCATTCAGCGGGAGTTGTGTTCAGTCTTCTTCGGTTCAAACTTCAAAAATGAGCGAATTAGACGAAGAATTTGCCAAGATGCTGCTGATAAAAGAGGAGCGGATAAAGGAGATGGAGAGGCTGCTGTTGGTGAAGGAGCAGGAGGTGAATGAACTGAAGAGAAAGCTGCACAAATGTCAGTCAGTGCTGCCGAGCGCTATTGGACCCAGAACCAGGCGCGCGAAGGGCATCTCCGCGGAACCGCAGACCTTCAGGTCCTTCCAGGACTTGCGCAAACACCCCAAGTCGGACAGGTAAGAGCCCTTCATTTGCCAACTATAGACGAATATTCTTTACACTGGTGTCACAACCAAGCTGTGGATGCTTTCTGTCCGAATCGAGTCTCAGTTACCTCGCAGTGTGATTATGCTATTATGCACTTTATTTTAAGGTGCCGTCGTTACAATGTTATATGTACTTGCTATAATAACAGCAATAATTACAAGTAACTAACCATAAACTAACACTTAACATTATAGTATGTACATATAGTTACATTTGCAATTGCACTGTAACAACATCACCTTAAAATCAAGTGTAACCTTTGCACACGTGACTGTACTTCACTATACTATACTATACTATACTATACTATACTATACTATACTATACTATACAACTAATTATACAATGCAAAGCTTTATACAATACTATGCAACAAAGGTATATGCAAGACTGGATTACCACATTGTATGACACTACTACACTATACTACACTATACTATACTATACTGGCCTAAATTTGGACTGCGAAAAATGACTTGAAACTTTTGATTAGTGCAAAGCATAGAAAGGGTGCTGATTTTTTTTTTCTTTGTGTGTGTGTGTGTGTGTGTGTGTGTGTGTGTGTGTGTGCATGTGTGTGTTTGACAAATGCAGATGGTTTTCACGTGTCACCATTGTGTTTAATTGTAGAAATCAGTTCTTAAAACTTGCTTGGAAGCTTTGGTCATGTGTACGTCATTAACTTGGTATATTTCGGTAAGTTTTAGTACCGAAGAAACTGCATCGTAGTTTAAAGCAACTTTACTCACTACACTACAGTGCAACACGTGGTTTCAGAAAGAAAAAAAAACCAATTAATGTCAATAGTGTCAATTAATGGAATAAATCCATTTTGGAGGTGTTTTAAAATGCTTCTGTGTTTACTATCACCAGTTTTGCCTCTAAATTGTAATAGAATGTAAAGTGTTTATAGTATTGCTTCAAGTTATATGGATGCATAATTAGCTGACATTAACATATATAAATGTTGGTCCATAATGCCTATAATAATGTATTAACATACAGTAAAAGTCCAGTCATCTGGTCTAATGCTCTTAGTCATAAAAGCTCGCTTTCACACTCTTGCTCAGTGTCCAATAGCCCTTCTGTACAACCCTAACCTTGCTGAATATTTAATGCTGGCTGTTAAATATTTAATGTCACAGATATTCACTGCTATATTTAGGATTCATATATTGTAACTTTCAACTTTTCCTGGAAACACGTGGAATGTCCCACATTTAGTGGGAATAAGTAAACCTTGTTTCTGTAAATGAGTATCTTAACCTCTGCAGGGGTCAGCGGGAGCTGTAGCTTCCTATAATAATGTATTAACATACAGTAAAAGTCCAGTCATCTGGTCTAATGCTCTTAGTCATAAAAGCTCGCTTTCACACTCTTGCTCAGTGTCCAATAGCCCTTCTGTACAACCCTAACCTTGCTGAATATTTAATGCTGGCTGTTAAATATTTAATGTCACAGATATTCACTGCTATATTTAGGATTCATATATTGTAACTTTCAACTTTTCCTGGAAACACATGGAATGTCACATTTAGTGGGAATAAGTAAACCTTGTTTCTGTAAATGAGTATCTTAACCTCTGCAGGGGTCAGCGGGAGCTGTAGCTCGCTTAATATTATTGAGATCAATGCGACATTTTCATTTTGCTTTTGAATGTAATAAAATGAAAAAGTGCAGTTTTGGATTATAATAAGCAGTTTCAACTATTGGCTGTCCTTAAAGCGCCCCAAAACTGAAATAACTTCCTGTTAGTAGCCACTAGATGTCAGTAAAATATCATCATCCCTCGAAGGGTCACTATTAAAACTGAGGAACCTGATGCACTGTCACTGATATGACAGAGGGTTTATATTGAGACCTTTCATGAAGTGTGGATGGAAAAGATAATGTTTTTGGTTCAAGATGCCATTGTAACTTACAAGCATATATTTATTTAAATAATTTATTCAGCAATTAAAAGTGACAGAGGGTAATTGAGTGAGTAGTATTTGTCTGTGTCATGTGATCTCAACATGGTGGGGAGCAGCCCCATGTGGGATACAAAAGCTTTTTTTTAGGCCACTGATATGACTGGAGCTTTTCATATGAACTATTCATTTAGGGGTCTTTTTATTGTGGAAAAAGTGCAGTTAACACATTTAGGTTTAAATTAAGCTCCTCTGAAATATATGTATGTATGTGACTAAGGCATGCATAAAATGCAATGCACATTAATCTACTATTTTTCCTGTTTGCTATTTGCTATTTAATATTTTTTAAATGTTTTTGAAAGAACCAATATATTGTGAAAGAACAGTAATATTGTGAATGTGTGTGTGTCTGAGAGAGTATATGTATAATTTATTTCTTTGATGGCAAACCTTTTTTGTAGGATTCTTTTAATCGAAAGAAAGTTTAATTAAGCAGCATTTGAAATATATATATATTTTTTACATTATAAATGTCTTTACTGTTTTGATAAACTGAATGTGTCCTTGCTGAATAAAATGTATTTATTTATCTATCTTAATCCAAACTTTTGAGTGTATCTGTATCACAGTTTCCACTAAAAATATTAAGCAGCAGAAATGTCGATAGCTTTGAACATTGATAAGAATAAGAAATGTTTCTTGAGCACAAATCAACATATTAAAGAAAATAATTTCTGAAGGATCACGTGGCACTGAAGACTGGAGTTGGAGTGATGATGCTGAAAATTCAGCTTTGCAGCACAGGAATAAATTCAGGAATAAATTATATTTTTTATAATATTTCACAACAACCTATATACATATATATAGTGTTACATATATGTATGAATCTGAACCTAAACCTTATAACATTTAACATTTGTTCTTATTTTATGCACTGTAAACTCAGGTTCTTGTGACTGATAAAAAAGCGATCTCTTTGACAAATAATGATCGTCTCTGATGCTGTGTGTTCTCATGTAGAACTCCTTATATAATCAACAAGCTGCTTGAAAAGCACTTGAGAATGGAAAGTGTGTTATCTTTCTTGTCCTGATAAAAGGCTGCAGGGTTAACGGTGGCTTGTACTGCAGATCCAGACTCTGGCCTTCCACATTAGCATCACATCTCTCACGTCCGCATTGGCATAGACACTTTGATCTGCGCCTGGTCTCCAGTTCTTGTAAATGGTTTGCGAGAAGGACAGAGCCTCATCAATCGTGCTTAATTGGTCTTTTCTGCTATGCATGATAAATGGGATTCATGTTCATTTTGGGGCAGTGCTCATGGAGAAAAGGAAGGGATGGACTAGATACAGAATAATGTCCCTTGTGAGGTTTGTGTGCTACATTGTGGGTTTCAAAATTCAGGACATTCATTAACCACTTTATTAATGTCTTGTTTAAAGTCTTAAGATCATTTCTGCCAGACAAAACACTAAACAGGATGGTACATAAAACAATTACACAGAGCAGTGAAAAATATACTGTACAAGACATAAATGTAACAGTTAGCAAACATGATTGCTACAGCTTCCTATGTATCTTCATTTTACCATCTTACTATGATATTCATATATATATACCTTGCTACGTGTACTGCGTTATGCTAACCGAGACTTGTCATTTGCACTTTTATATTGTTGCTCTTTTGTTAGTTTTGACTGCTTTTATTGTCCTCTTTTGTAAGTCGTGTACATATAATTTATAATTTTTTAAAGCTACTGATGTTGTTGTATTGTATTATTGATGCTATTTGCATTTGGTCAAGTTAATTAAATCTTTACTTATCTCTGTATGGGGATGTTTTCTCCACTAGAGGGCGCTTTTAATCCTATTTGTTTTTTAAACTGTAAATTCTTGCCATTTTCTTTTCTCTGGCATATACCACCTGTTAATATTGTGTATATATATATATATATATATATGCGTCCTTTTGGAGCATTTTTAGTATCCTTGATATATATATACTATTATAGTTTGTGTTAATATTTTAATTTACATTTTTCTTTTTATGTTATCTGATTTATGGTAATAAATAAAAAACATGTTTGTATTAAGTTTTTAGTTTGAGTTCATTTAGTTTTAGTTATTTTAGTACTTCAAATTCAATGGTTTATGTTATATAATGATATCTATTTTATTTTAGTTATTATTTATTTTATTTCAAGTAATACAAATGTTTTTATGGTTTAAATTAACTATAATAACTCTGTTTTGAAATTATAATGTTCTACAGAATTCCAGTAGGTTTGTATCTAACATGCTTTCTGATGTGTTACAGTAGTGTAAGGAACAAGAAGTCTACAGAGGGCATACAAGTGCAACAATTTCATTCCCAGAGTAACATTTTTAGCCCTAGAAAGTGGGGGCAGTTAATGAGGTGAAATGGAGCACCAGCTGGTCGTGTGTTAATGGGAAGGATCCAGATGATGTTAGGGGGACTGTGAAGAAGAAGCATGTGGTAGAACTCCAGAGCATCATCTGGACATGCAGCTTGTTCTGTGCAGATGAAGTGTAGAAGCATGCTGCAGTTGGTTGTGTAAACACATGCTACAGAACCCTTGGATATCATTAGTGTTGTATTTAAAGGAATATTTCACCCAAAAATGATAATGTCCTGATTATTTACTCACCTCCAGACCATGCAAGATGCAGATTCCATGGAAAACATTACAGGATATTTCTTCATCTAATGCAAGTGAATGCCATTTGTAGTTGAAAAGTATAGATTAGAATTGTTTCATTTATGCATGCATGTATGTTTTTTTTTTCTTTTCCTGAAAATTACGGATTTTTTTTTTTCCACTAGAGAAGATCCTTATTTGTTGACTGGGGTTGTGTGGATCACTTTGAAGCTGCCTTCAATGTTGGTCTATGTTGGACCCTGTTTACTTACTCCAAAACCTTAATTTCTATTTGGCTGAAAAAAGAAAGTCATTTACATCTTGGATGGCGTGGGGGTGAGTAAATAATCAGGACATTTTCATTTTTGGGTGAACTATTCCTTTGAGTGTT